TCAAAAAAAACCAGTCTGTGCCAAATTTCAACCCTGTATCTCATCTGGGAGGGTAGTTACGGATAAAAATGTAATCGCGAAGTTTTTGGCCAATTTCTCCTATTTATTGGCATTAGAAAATTCTGAAAAAATCAGAGACATTTCTATTTGTGAGGCACATATTACAGAATTTTTTCAGATTTTTAGATTGAAAACTGAAGCCGTGAAAAATCAAAAACGTCAAAAAATGCTGAAAAATGGCGATTTTGTATGGAAGGAGTAGCGGATCTAGATTCATATTTTTTTTATAAGTGTATATTATCGATAATATTAGGCTCAATTCTCAATTTTTTTGAGAATTTTTGGTCAGGTGCGCCATAGTTAAAAAAATTAAAAACCGAGTTTTTCGCTGTTTTTTGCGTGTCAGAGTTACTTGTACGGCGAATTTTCGTCTGTTCTTTATCAAGTAAGTGTGTTATATAATATTTAATGTTTTTACGTACAGCGAAACGCAATAAGAATTTAAAAAAAAAAACTAAATAAACCAGAATTATTGAAAGTACTTTATGTGCAATATATATCAAAAAACCGAAAGCTGTTCCAATGGTGTCGGTGCTCTAGCGGTTAAAGCGCCTGACTGCTAAACCGCTGCTAGGCTTTTCGTGGGTTAGAGTCGGCTCACGCTGATTTTTTTTTTCTGTAAAATACATGTTCTTCAGTTTCGTTCATTGTAGAAACATTAAAAATTACATAATACACTAAGTGTATAAAGGCTCTTTTAAAAATTGAAAGTGTTTCTCATGTTATCGCATGAAATATGTCGAAAATATCAGTTTTTAATTTTTTTAACTATGGCGTACTTGACCAAAAATTCTCAAAAAAATTGAGAATAATAGTATTGATAATATACACTTATAAAAAAAATATGAATCTAGATCCGCGACTCCTTCCATACAAAATCGCCATTTTTCAGCACTTTTTGACGTTTTTGATTTTTCACGACTTCAGTTTTCAATCTAAAAATCTGAAAAAATTCTGTAATATGTGCCTTACAAATAGAAATGTCTCTGATTTTTTTCAAAATTTTCGAATGTCATTAAATAGGAGAAATTGGCCAAAAACTCCCAGATGAGATACAGGGTTGAAACTTGGCACAGACTGGTTTTTTTTTGATCGCCTATCGAATGGTTCATAGCAAGTCGAATTTGGTTTGGGGGCACTTTTACCATCTTATCCGGCTATACCCTTTAGTTCAATATTCGATACTTATTATCAAATTAATCTGTACAATTAACAAATAAATAATCCACGCTCAATTGTAAAAATTCTAATTTTAACCCCCCGCCCCCTATTTTTTAACGAGGAGTAGGGGTCGCCGACATTGCAGCGGACGGTCTATTAGCGAATTTTAATTTTAACCCTCTAACTCCTAGGATATACAATGATTCGAAAACGGCGGACCATGGAGAGAGCCCCGATTTTAAGTTAATATCCTCGTATACGTTTTGTAAATTTGTATCACGATTGACCCAGGGTTCAAGAGTTAAACATTAATTATTACATGAAAGTTTATAGAAAAAGATTACTTAATTTGTTAGTGCATAATAAGATATAAGGAGATATTTTCCTGCGCTTTTTCAAAGTTCATCAAGTACGGTTGCAGTCACGAGACGAGATAACACGATACCCCTACTAATCGTTCCAGTTTGCTCGGTTTATCGCAGACGGGGCTGCATAACGAACGATTTTATCAACGGAAACTATGATGCAAAGTCTAGTTAACGGATTGCATCGTTGTAAGCACATCGCAGTCACGCTGTTAATTGCGGTAAATATAGGAGACTGATATGGTGAATGACTCGTCACGCGATTCGACGTCTCATGAGCTTCCACTATAAAAACCATTACGTGTTACTTTGTGCTTTAACTTTCAAATGATAAGATTCAATTCTGTAGCGTACATAATATCATGCTTGCAGTTTTCATTTCATTTACATTTTTTCTTCTTTAATCAAAATTCACGATGAATTTAAGGAAACTCCGCGATACCATCTATAACGATCCTCCACGAACGATTTCTTCCAGATTTGCCAAAGTATCGAGAATCATTTAAAGACGGAAAATTTTCAAAAGTTTCCCTTCTAGATAGAGGGTGGTGGTTGAGCTGGAGAAGTTTGAGAACCGTAAAAGTTATCGAGACGTTAGATACCCGGGAAGATCTCGTAAGTGATTCTGACAGCGAGAGCAACGTTTCTTCGATCACCTTTCCATCCCCTTTCGATCATCTCGTTCCTTCCTTCCTTCCTTCCTTTCAACGATAAAACCGCCCCCGATCCGTTGATTAAAAATTCCACTTGCGCGTTTAACGAGAAAACTTGCTCTCTCGTTGTTCCGTTAATTAGAACCTTTAATATCGCGCAACAAGCTCGGAAGACAACGGGCCGGTTCGAATTTCCGCTGGAAACGGGACGAAAGACTCGACGTCAACGCGCGAAAGATGAACAAAAGAAAAGTCAACGACGAGAGGGAAATTAGATTAAACTCGGGGGTATTTTTTTTCGACGTGTCTCGCTCGTTTTATAACTCGAATTCTGACGGTGAAACTTTATGCTAAAGGAGCCAAGAGCTTTATCTTCCCAGGAGACGACACGGTAACTCTACGGTTACGGGCTAAACACAGACCCGAGCTTTATTAAATCCAGTCGTGATTCAATTCTCCCAACAATTCAGCTTAGGAATATGCACCTAATGAAAACTGTGGTTGATGTTTTTGCATACCCTCGTCACGGGTAATACACGTACCTACCTAGGATGATTATACGATTAGCAGACCGTTTAAGGACGGGGTAATTGTATTCGATGGTGTTCCGTTCTTTCTTGAAAGTAACGACCGCTGGTGGCACTTTGGTAATCGCGTGGAAACGGCATAAATACAGTAGATTCTTGTTATATCACCACGTGAGCGATTTCACCTGTACACAGATAGGTTGAATAACCTATGCACGAAACTGATATCGTGGCAATACAGGGTGTCCCAGGAAGAGTGTTACAGTAAAAGCTGGATATATGCAACAAACATTGGGACTCGGACGTTACATATATCCAGCCCAAATGTCGATTCTGGGTATTTAATGTTGCATATACAGTAAAACCTGGATAAATGCAACGAAAGAATGCTTGGATAATTGCAACATCGATATCCCCTCCACTTGGGGGGATCCCCCTAGACGAACCGAGCCGCTCGACAAGAAAACCGTGTAATATCGGTGTGACTAACACTAATTGAATGATAAAACTTTTTTATTTTTAACTTTTTCTTAATGAAACTTTTACTAACGCATTTGTGAGATTTTTCTGATTAAAATGACACCAAACATGATATAGTTTGAATTATATTTATAAACGATAGTAATAGAACAAACAACATAGAATTGACACCACGGCTGAATATAAATGATGTCGGCTGAATACAAAAGATGTGTACGGACACAGAATCGGCATGTCGGCTGAATACAAAACATGTATACGGACGCAGAATCGACACCTCGCTTGGATAAATGCAACATTAAATGCCCAGAATCGACACCTCGCTTTGATAAATGCAACATCAAATGCCCAGAATCGACACCTCGCTTTGATAAATGCAACCACTGGGTCCCAATCTTGATTGCATTTATCCAGGTTTTACTGTATCCAGTCAATCTTTCGTTGCATATATCCAGCTTTTACTGTAGTCCTTTAAGGGGGTGGTAGCTGGGGTGATTCTGAACATTTTCCTTTGCAAAAATGTTTTTTGAAGCTTCGTTTTTAAATTATTAAGGAAAAACACTGGCCAATCAGAGCGCGTGGGCTCAGGGACGGCAGGGTACCGAAAGTGTTCGTTCGGGACACAAGTCAAGCCCAGCTTTCGAGGCTGCCGTCCATGATCCTGCGCGCTATGCGCGCTCTGATTGGCCAATGGTTTTCCTTAATTCAAAAACGAAGCATCAAACAACATTCTTGCAAAGGAAAATGTTATTCAGAATCACCCCAGCTACCACCTCCTTAAAGGACTAACACTCTTTCTGGGATACCCTTATAACGAGAGTCTACTGTAGGTAATTTGGGAAAGCCTTTCGCGAAAATAAACATTAGAAATAATAAAAAATAAGAATAAAGTCCCCTGTATCCATTCTTCTCACTAGGCGTCCCAGAGGAGACTGACGATGCGTGGGAGGAAGTCTCATATATGTATTGTCCACCGATGACAAGAAGTCTCGCGGGACGACACAGGGGTAAGAGGGGATACTACGCATACAACGACTGATCCTCCTAGTTTACACGAGCCTAATTAGTAAATATGATCAATTCGACCAATTATACGTCCCGACCGAAAGTACGTATGAGCTGAGGTGGGGTGCAACCAATCAGGTTGCGTTATTCTCAGGTGACTTCTTGTGATCGGTGGACAGTACAATATACAGTGGGTGATCAAATTATTAGAGCCACTCGCATAAATTGACGACTTTACATAAAAATTCTTAATTCTTAAATGAAAACCTAGTTAAACGGAGTTTTTGTTATTTTTTTATAATATATTGATATTTGTAAAATTATGATACACAGTTGAAAGAAGTGAAAGTTCTTGACTGACCTACAAAATTTTTTGGAACTCAACTCCATTGAAAATTTGTAGAAATATTTATTATTAGTAATAAATGTCAATTGATTGACATTTTTGTATATTAATACTGGAGAATTATTGATTTAAAAATGCACAATGTAAAAACCTTAAAATTGTGGCTCGATTTCTACACAAACTAATGGCTCTAATAATTTGATCACCCACTGTAGGCTTATGGCGGACCTCCACTTGGCGCGTAAACGTTTACGCGGAAAATTTGAATTGAAATTCATGTATTATTCAAATTTCTCAGTTATATACTAAAATTTATAATATTTAACAATTAACAATCATAATATTTGTTCTTAAATTACTTTTAACTACTAGAAGAGCTTAATTTGACCGCGAGTGAACTTACAATAAAGCTTCTTCACTTCGCTTCCACTGTCTCGAATCTCGTGCGTTCGAAAATCGAGAACCCAGCTTCAACTTCACAGTTTCTCTCAATTATCCCTGCAAGAAAAATAAATTTTCGTTAGAACAATAAAATATAAGTTTCTTTTCGAAAAGTCGATCAAATGTTAGAACGATAATATCGAGGGAAAGTTTTATTCGCGCGAGGTTCGCGAACGCATTAGACTCTCGAAAGGAGGGCTGGTCTAGTTCGATATGAGAGATGAGAATCGAGGATCGAGCATCGATGAATTTTTCTTCGTGCGCACTGAGGTCCCCGAGTAAATATCGAGGCATATGAAGTCGGAAGGGATCGAAAAAGGTCGCGCCAACTCGAATATTGACGGACTGCATTTCCATATATCCGGATACTTCCAGCCTCTCCACCCTGGAATATCCAGAGTGGAAATAAGGAAGAAAATGTTAAACGAAACGGAAACGAACTGGAAACCTTCTTTATTCGAAAATGGGAAAAGGTATCGAAAGTGATCGATCAACTGTTGCGTTTGATGAACGATCGAGTTTCATGATTGATCGATCAACGTCCAACTTTGGCTGAACTTGACGAATAATATTCAATATTTAAAATTAGTATTACTAGCACTATCAAAAGGTTATTATTAATTTTGTATCCTCAGAGCGCGGACCTCGGAGAGATTTAAATTTTACATTATATTATAATTATGTTAATTATCTTATAATTAATAATTATACTTATCAAAAGGGATAGGAATGAAAAGCATGCAAATTCAGGATGGAATTAAATTCCTTACCCGAAATGATATAACAAGTTTCTAGTGGCATTTTATTGTCGTAAATAACAGAGGAATTCGACATTTTCGAAACGGTCGTCGATGAGTCACGAGTTCCCCCCGGGGGTGTTTTCCACTGTTCCACCCCTTTCGAGCACGCGCCATTAAAACAATACCCTTTGAGGGCACGAACTGTGATTCGTCAAAGGACCTCACCCTGTACGTTCCTCTCGAGGCCACTTCGTTATTCTCACACCGTGTTAATTGACTTTCAAGCGGTTCCGGTCGTTATTGCGATCCTCGGAGTGGCTCTTCGATGCCAATGATTTCGGCAAACGTACGATTAATTGGAATTCTTCGAGTATCCGCGCCATCTTTTACACCCTGAATAAATTTCGAAGACGCTAATTCTTAAATAAATTTCATTCTTGCTTCGATTAGGAATTCGATTAAGAAAATATTATAAAAGTAAAGATAACTCGATGAATTGATATTTTTCTTACAGGGGCAACCTCATGTAAAATGAAATTTTTTAGCATTTTTTTTTTTCGCTTAAATCGATAGGAAATTTCCTCGGGAATGCGATAAAAAAGGTTAGAAAGTGATCAGAGATGTTCTTGTATGTTATTTTCAAAATAAAGTGAACGGTTGTATTGGGCGGAGCGGTCTGTTACTTAAGTTTTAAACGCGTTTTTCTCGAAACGCAAAATTTCGCATGCCGTGCAACGTAGCTCAAAAACTAATTACTCGATCTTTATGAAACTTGGCATATATATTCTATAAACAATTGGCCTCAGCATGACGAGCTCCGATTTTTTTTTTTTTTATTTAAAATACTGTTATTAACAATTTCTCATAACCGAAACTCCGGTTTTTTTTCAAAACTTTGCCATTTTCGCAATTTTGAAAATTTTAATAAAAGAAAAACGTCATGCTGAGCGTTTTTGCATAAAGTAGCTATTCTATTTTGATTTTTTTATTCCAAATCATTTTTGTGCCTTGTACGCTGCACGGCGAATTTACAGGATGTCATTTTCAAGCCGCCATTGCACCATCGTTATTAGAAATTACAATTTATAAAAAATATTTCCGTATACATTATAACGTTAATAAATGACACTTCAAATTTTAAATCAATCTGCGCATTACATTTTCCAAAAAAAATTCTTGAAAAACAGACCATTTACATGAGGTTGCCCCCTTAACGATTCAACTAGAGCAGTGCTTCCCAACGTGGGGCCCACGCCCCACAGGGGGGCAATTTGATTGTTAAGGGGAGCAATTCGAAAATGAACTCGTCCAGAGTTTAAGTTAACCGTATGGCGATTCTCAGTAATAATTAAAATAATATAGAAAAATCCTTCATTAAAATTATTTCGTACCTGAATTTCAGTTCTCCATTATATGTTTTGAAAATTAATGTACCATGTTTCCTAAACAATTTTCTACTGATTTCTTCCTAAAACCTATCATTTAAGTTTCTTCAGTGAACAATTCAATTTTTGAATATTAAAAATTATGTATATTAAAAACTTAACTAAAAAACATTTTAAATTAATGTTAATTTTTTTTATTAATATTATTTATTGCTCTAAGAAATTGTATAAGAATTTTAAAAAGGCTTAGGTGGGGCATGGCACAAAAAAGATTGGGAAACACTGAACTAGAATATCTTTTCCAAGGATTCTGTGCATCAATTGAATCCTTTGAGAGGTGTCTTATCATACTTCCGACCAACTTATAATTACTGCACCGTAAAGCTTTATGCAAAGCTTTATATTCAGAGTACCTTAACTTCTGTATCAATAAATAATTAAGGTATATTTGGTGATCTAAAGTAATTTTCAAATATTCTAATAGGAGCATAATAAATTCTATGACGGCAGTGTGGAAAGGGGTAGCCGGTTATTGACATAAGAATTAAATGTAAAAAGACCTCCACCACTTTTGAATTTGGAGCTTTGTTTTTGAGATACAAAGCGACTGAGGCTCGACGACTTCCGGGCTGCCCTCTTCAAACTTTAGTCGAACAAGCGAACAGCTGATAGAGTGGCTGCAGATGTCTGCACAATGTGCATAATGCGAATTTTGAGGGCATCCTCCACAAAATAAAACAAACCATTATAAAATTGTTAGAAATTAACCGGGATTAACCCTTTAATACAAAGTTTAAGGGGCTATACCAGTGTAACACTTTTGAAAAATCGATTTTTTTTGCATTTTTTAAAAGTCTATACTCCCTAGAATATCATATTAAAATTTTAAGGTCGAATCTCAAATAGTTTAGGAATGGCAACGTTCTAAAGAGTAACTGCTGGCATGTCAGGAACGGTATTTCTCAAATTTGCTGTAGCTCTAACTCGAATACAAATTGTTGCATCGACTCGAAACTTTTTCAGCGTGTTCAGTACATGTTTTGCCATGCCATGAACTAGGATTTTTTTGATTGGATGAAAAATGCCAATTTGGTATTAAAAAAACTACGATTTTTTTAAGCTAAATTCCAAACTTTTCTTCAAAACTTCGCCATTTCGTCAGATTTTGATATTTTTCAAAAATCCTAGTTCATGGTGCGGAGAATACCTTCTAGTTTAACAGCGTCTTTGTCATTTTTCATTTTAAGCACTCAGACGGCGGCAATCACTGCAGCAGTGGAGCAACTTTTTTTTTTGAGCCCTGGAAGATAGCGTATAAGTCGCTTGTTATTTATTATTTTTGTACCAAAAAATTATTATAGATATACGACTTGTAACTATATACATCCCTATAGTTTAAAAATATTTGATATAATATTTCTTTAAAAAAAAAATTCTCGAAAATCACCTAATCTTAGAGCGGTCACACTGGTATAGCCCCTTAACAAATATAATATTGGGAACCTTCGTGCATATAAGATACAACCGGTACTAGCGGCATTCTGCAGTATGGCACGAAACAGTACATTAGGCAGGACATTTAGTACAAAAAATGAAGGTCTAATGCATATAATCAATGATTAAAATTTCCAAATGACACCTAAATCTATGAATTCCAATGGATCGATAAGTTCCGAAATTGGTGGAATCACGAAGAACCGTGTAATTTTGCGACACCTCCGAATAACAGTATCGGATACGTGCGTCGAATAATCGCGGCTTCTCTCGATTCGAGGCCGATCAATTCGAAGGTGAAACGCTTTTGCTAACCGGTGAAGCTGGATTATGATTAACGCGGTTAGGTTAGTCCCGAACGTTCCTCGTGAACAACGTACCTCTGTTGATGAAACTAGTTTCAGGAGGCTCATTATACAAGGTACCGTGAAAGCTTCCTGCCACGTTGTCGCTGGATAAACACTATCGGGGACGCGCGCAACTTCCGCTCCCTCTTGCACTTGAGTACACACACGTGGAAACGCGCACAATCTACCACCGATGATTTCCAACCCGTGTTTCCCCCGAAAGCACGGCTTTGTTTTCGAGTACCATTTTATTCGTGGCTTTGTAAGAATCGACACTTTAAATGAGATACTTAACCCTTTTCAATGACGTATATATGTAAGGCGAAGAAGGACGAAGGTCGAAGTAGCGCTTTTGTTTCAGTCAGTTAGAAATCTAACTGGTAAATCTTCGAGAGGTTGGGATTAAAAATTTTCAATCTTACAGAATGTCAGAGAACAGAGTGGTAAATAGAATAAAACAGTCTTTCCTATGCGAAACATTTCAGACACTTATCAAAAGGAAAACTCAATTCTCGAAACGCCATTTCCACGAGCGTTTCCCATTTTCTTTCTTTCTATTTTTCATTCGCTCTTGTCCAGAGGTTCGAGCTGAAACGGGCTGACGAGTGAACGTTAATTAACTCGCAATGCCATGCAGACCCTACGCTAATTGGACTTGTTCTATAATTAACCGTGTCCAATTTTAATCGGCTCGAGTATTCACTCGCCTTTCGAAGTAATCGTATTTTCGCGCTACTTAACGAATACACAAAAGCAGAGGAAAATATTGAAATTCAAAATAGCAATTAAGACGACGTAGTACTAAAGGCGTTTAATTAATTTCTACAGCTAATATAGAACTCTTCGTTTGAAAATTATTTATCGTAAGTTATATTGAAGCATCATTGCAGGGCTAGGTCAATGTTGATCCGGCTCTGATATTAATGATAGACCAGACAAGCATGATAGTTAACGATGAGTTTGCTTGTTCGAACCAGTCGAACAACTTATTTCGAGACGCTCTTTCCGCTTTATAATGAACGTTTATATGGGACGCGAAATCTGTGTTAATTAGTCGAACATCTTGCGATCATTATGTTTTTCTCCTAGCT